CCCCACAGATAAAAGCGCTTCTCATGCTCCAGGAATCATCCGTGTTAGGCTGGCAAGGAGGTCCAAATGTGGCCTTTCTAATTTTCAGCTGTGGAAAATTAAGCGACGCTGAGCTTCTTTCATCTTCCCCCCCCTCTCCCCTCCCCAAATGGTCTCATACATGTAATTATTTTTTTTTTCTCCCAGAGATGTTGAGCAGACCCGGGATAGGAGCGCCCTGCCAATTCCTCATTCTCCGTCTGCTGAATGGCGCTGTTACGCAATCCCTAATTGCCTCCACTTGGCCTGGAGAGCGGAGCGGCTTGCGTTCTTCTGGAGGCCTGCGCAGTTATCTGGGGGTGGGGGGGGGCTGGACTCGACATGTCATTTGTGACTTATTAAAAAAAACATCAAAAATCCACAAAGCCACCGCTAACGAAGACGACGGCCAACTCTGTAAATATGTGCGAGTTCTTAAGGGGCATAAAAACGTTCGTAAAATTTGCGATCCCGCTTCATTGAAACTTGTCCCCGCCTGTGATCAAGAAGCATGCAAGTCATCTGTTTAGCCACGCCCCCCTTCCCCAACCTTCATAAGCAAGCCCTGTGGGATGAGTGGAAGAGAATTAGCCAATCACGGCGGACCTAACCGCGGCTGAACCGAGCCAACTGAAAGACTGAGCCAATCACGGTTCAGCTGATATAAGAGGCCCGGTCGGAGGCAAAATGCCGGCTTGCTGGGCTCCTCATTGTGGTCAGAAGCCACAAGTGCGAAGGCGGCACCGTTCCACCACGTCAGCCTGAGTCACGGCCCCAGGGGCCCGACCCCGCCCAGCTGCTACCGGCCCGGCAGGGAATTTGTGTGAGACATCTTCTCTGTGGTGGACGATCCCCTGGGCGCTTCCCCAAACGACGCCGCGGTTGCCAGGAAACCGTTAACCCCCCGAGGCTCAGATTCCTCATGGGGTGGTTCAGCGGACAGGCCGGGCGCGAGTCTGGCATTAAGCAGCTATTCAGAGTGGATTAGTCGCTATAATGTCGGGGAATGTGGCCAGTATCCTTTCGCAAAAGCACCAGAAATGGGACCGTGAGTCTGTCCAAGTGACATGAGACCTGACGATACATTATGGGGCCAAATGGGTTAGGGGGGAGGGTGATACCTGACCGCAGCGCAGGGGACGGCCTCCAGATTGGCTGGGACCTGCACCCCTTTCTCCCACTCCTGTCTCCAGGGGTCCGACAGCACGTAGAACTCGTCCGGGCTCAGCTGGGCCGAATCGGGCAGCTTCATGGCGGTGATGAAGTCGGTCCGGAAAACCTGCGAACACGGGCATGGAGTGGGTGTGGCTGGCAGGTCACATGAATCGGCAGACACATTAAAGGTAAATTACACTCGCGGCCCCTGGCCGATTTCGTCTTCAGTTTGTAGTTCCATTTCTTTTCTGTGGGGGGGGGGGGATACACTGAGTGGTGGCCAGGATAAACATCAGACCGGGGAGGAGAAAACCAGCTCCCAGGTCGGGCTGACCTCTGAAGGACGCCAGAGTCACGACACACCGCCATCCCACGCTGGGACTCCAGGGTGAAGCCATGACTCCGCATTAGAGACGCTATCGGCTCGTAAGCCCCCTTTATCTAGGCTTAATTAGCTGCCCTCTGCTCCACAGATGGGCTCCACGGGAATCGCTGCAACCCCCCTGCCCCCCCCCCCTGTGCCGACGGAGCCAAAAACACCCTCCATGTTTTTTTTTTTCTCTCTCTCTCTCTCTCTCTAAGTGTCTCTTCAGGGGGACAGCCCCCCCTACAGGTACAGCCTTGTGTTTACATGCCGGGGGAAGTGACACTACCGGGTCCACAGATGCCAATTTTAGACGGCCCAACTGCCCAATTAGGCCTGGGCCGTCCTGGGGGCGGGGTCTCGCCCCCAAATATATTGTCATGGGCGGAGCTAAATGCTGTTGTGGCCAAAACCAAACCGGGACACGTGTAAAATCTGAGTAGCCTCCGTTCTGGGAGAAAGATGCAACATGCAAAGCCATCACTGTGGTGGCAGGTACATAGCCAGGTAGTACAATTACAGGTTCGAATCCCCCCCCACCGCCCCCTGGGGCAAAATCTACCAAAGGGGACCAATAGGTAGGGCCCCCACACCTTCCCTAAGAAATTTATTTATGTCTACGAGCCTGCTGACAGGACAGAGGTCACCTTCCACATCACTTATGTTTTCACCCAAGAAGATGTGCAGGTGACCTTTGACCCCACACTCGAGGCAGCTGAATGCCGGCCCAGCTGCTTCCTGAGAGGACCATCTCAAGCCGAAGCATCGTGACACCGGCGCTTGTGAAACAGCAGCCCTGCTCCACCACACTAATCCTGCAGATGTTTTACATCTGGCTGCTCAGCTGGCACCTTGGCGCTTAGGACATTGTGCCATTGACCAGAAGGTCGTCGGTTCAAATCCCAGGGTCAGTAGAGTGATGTCACCATTGGGCCCCTAACCCCAAGTTGCTCCCAGGATCGTGTGACCCTGTTTTTTGCCTGTGCTTATAAGGGGCACCGTGGTGAGACGCACACCGGAAGCACACGACCTCAGCCGCTGTATCAGCTGCCAGCCTGGTCCAGGAGAAACAAACCGTTACATCACAACTAGATTCCACCTAGACTGAGATTTTCAGCCAGGTGGGTCCGCTAAGCTCAGAACAGGACCCATCGCTGCAGATCCTGAGAAAGCCGGGGATTCGGAGCAAGCGAGCGAGAGCCCCCCCCCCCACCCAACCCTCCCTCCACCGCCGCTGTTCCCGCTGCCTGATCCGAGAGGATTTCAACTCAGCCTCAAGGATGAAGACAGAAGAACAGGAGCGGCCGGTTAGTCAGACAGCTATTTGAACATGAGCTCCCCGGGAACACCGCGTGGTAAAGAAAATCTCGCCGAGCGACACGGAGATGCGCTTCTCGCCGTTAGACCTTCCTCCGTAATGCTGGATTCGATCCCTTGATGCTCACCCTACACCCAAAACCACTATTCCATGTGAAAATGCTGCTGTATTCACCATAAAACGGCCTCTTGACACAAAGTCGAGGCGAGCCGGGCTTCACGCTGACAGCCGGGGGGGGGGGGGGAGAAGTGGGACTTCAACGTCAAAGCCTGTGACTCATAGCCGGGGCCCAAGAGGCTCCTGTGACAGGAGATGGCGCTGGGCGGGACCCGCCTGGTCTGACTGTTTGTACAGGGAGTGCCTCTTAGTCGCGCCGGATTAAGTGTCACTTGAGTGTCATGTTAACCTGTCTGGTTGGAGGGCGCCGTAAACACGGGAAGTGCGCCTTTACCCTCACACACTAACTGCCAGTATACTGAGCCAACTCTCCTAAAACCCAGCTTATACCTTTGACATTTAGCCCCTCCCATGGCTCCTCCCTCTGCCAGCTGGCTCCTCCCACCGACAGCAATCTCCCCTGACACCCAGCTCCCCCCTCCAACACTAAGCTCCTCCCTCTGCCAGCTGGCTCCTCCCACTGACAGCAGTCTCCCCAGACACCCAGCTCCTCCCTCCAACACTAAGCTCCTCCCTCTGCCAGCAGTCTCCCCAGACACCGAGCTCCTCCCTCCAACACTAAGCTCCTCCCTCTGACAGCTGGCTCCTCCCACTGACAGCAGTCTCCCCAGACACCCAGCTCCTCCCCCCCAACACTAAGCTCCTCCCTCTGCCAGCTGGCTCCTCCCACCGACAGCAGTCTCCCCAGACACCCAGCTCCTCCCCCCCAACACTAAGCTCCTCCCTCTGCCAGCGGTCCCGTCCCCCTTCTATTACAGCCTTCCCTGATACCCAGCCTCCCTCCTCCATCCAGTCCTCTGAGAATCACACCCATGTGCCGCTTCTTAAAAAAGGAGGTCAGACTCTCCGACAGCAATAATAAATTAATAAATAAAACCGCACACAAACCCCCTCCCAGAGGCCTCCAAAATGAGCTCGGAGAAAAGCGAGCTGGCTGAGGGGCCGCCACACCGTACGGGAGAGATGGCGCCGAAACACTAGCGGAGAAAAGGAGGGATGGGACTGCAGGTAACCTTGGGATGAAGTGAATCTCCTGCATGGCAGTGATTTCCATTATCGCAGGCCTAGGGCCAACAAGGGCATCAGCAAAAGGAAACAACTAATTAACTACCACAGGATGGGAAGGTCACGGATCATATGATGCAAAGCGGTGGAAATGTCTCTGGCGCGCAATATTAAAAGGCTGCCATCTTCACGTATTTTTTTCCCATAATCCCACAGCTCCCACCTGGTTCGCCTTGGAGGGGTGATGGTCGTATAAATACCCCATGCCGCAAAAAAACAGTGGCTAAACCAGAATCCTGCAAGATGGCGGTGATGCTGCAACACCGAGATCCCCATCTCTTACGGCTGCTCTCTGCCTGTAGGGCGGCGATAGAGAGAGGGCGAGCAGGGAGCCACGGGATGAGGCTGTTTTTGTTCAGGCATATGGTGGGGGACCTAACCTTCCTTTATAATGGGGGTGGGTGCAGATCATCTATTAAAAGGCTCCGCTGTAATGTCCTTCCTCACCCCAGCAGACCACAGCTATTCTCAAACTGACCACCAGGGGGGGTACTGCCTAACTTGCTACACAGCAGGTCAATTCATCCCTTGGGTAGGTGCTTCATTTTCTGTCCCCCCCCCCCCATCACTTCCAACCTGGGGTCATACAAAACCATCTTGGCTGTATTTGGCACAATGCCAACCCCCCTCCCAACTCCACCGCACCCACGCAGCCGTTTTTTGCATCCAGTTGCCGTGGACCTGCACAGCTGCTGCAGTCCTCGCAACTGTCGGCTTCTGCTTTCCTCCACTGCCCCCCTGGGACTGTGGCTTCCGGGTGCTCTGGCTTCCTGTGGCTCCTGTTTTCATCCTCAAGATCACAGCTGGACCAGGAAGCTGCTCCCTGTCCACATCTCTGCCGCATTTCACGCCTGTAATTTGTCCTCCTGGCAGACAGGTGGCGTCCTTTCAGATGACTGCTTTCCAGGTAATGATAGTTTTAACCGAAATGGAACTTACATTCTCCCAATCTCAACTTTAGGTTGTGTAATATTAGTTTTTTCCAAGTTTTACTGCAATGAGAAAGAAATTTTTAAAAACTTTGAAAAATAAAATATAAAGAAATAAAGCTAATCTAAGATGAATTCTGAATCCAATATGAGAAATTATACCCAATATATCTAGCTGAGTGCACAAAAAAATGTGATATATAACCCTTAAAAAATCTAATCCAAGGCAGTTTTGGTGATAAGTAGCTACCATGCAAAAAAATGTTAATAGTTTTTCACTAATAAATTTTAACCCCAGCATTAATAATGTAGGGGATGTAATGCGCTTCCAGGCCGGCTGCATCGCATGGAACAGCTGTGCTGCGCGTTTCTGCGCCGCTGCCTCTCTCGTTGGCATTAGTGAGCACGGCGTGTAAACTGCACACGCATGCTTTTACATTGTTAATCGAATTCCGGGCGGGCAAAGCGTCACAGAGAAGCCGATGGTGACGAAAGAATGCTTCTTGACACCCAGGTCACGCAATAAACATTGTGGGATTCCTGTGGGGGGGGGAGGGGGGGTCTGCGGGCTACCTCGGGGTGACACTCCCGGCTCAGACCAACGTGCATGCACGTGCAGGCACGCACGCACACACACTCACACACACTCACAGGACTCTAGGAGGAATCCACACCTGCAAGCCAGGTGGATCGTGGCAGAAATCCGACCCACCCTCCACGTGACCCAGTACAAAAGGTGTCCTGTTCGCGGGGGGGCAGCACCGAGGACCGTGTGGCATGCAGGATGACGGCTCGCTGGGGCTTTGCAACATCCGAGGACTCGCGGTCACCGCGTCCCACACGTGACCGAGACCGGCGGTCACACGGAACACGGGACTCACCTCCGATGGCTTCTTCTGCTCCGGTCGGCACCAGCCACTGCTACTCCCCATGTTCTTGGGGCACTTCGACCAAGAGGTCACATGACCTACAAAAGGACCAATCGACAAAGGGCGTAGCCATTAGCGGCAATGCGGAACATGGGGATCTATTTCATGGCAGTATGTGATGTATTTTGTTTACAGTTAGCATGTGGTACCAGCCACTGGACTTTAATAATCAATAACTTAAAATACAATACAATAGAGAATAATAATAGATTCTAATCTACTGTTTTATAACACGTTCGACACAACTAAGTGCATTCTTGTTTTTTCCCACATCTTCCTGGTCCTAATCCACCATTTTTATATTAATGTGGAGTGATATTTGTATAATCAAGCCTTGGTCTGGTAGCCACGTCTCGCTCCTCCTTCCAAAAGCACTGCTTCACCCCCCTCCCCGGCTCCATGGTGACAAGTCAAGCTACAGTCCTTATGGGATGTGGGTCAATCCCATTGGCCAAAGCCACCTGTCGCATGATTGACACCCCATTTAACGAATCAGGTGCGAGTCAGCTGCAGGAGCGGGTGGGATCGCAGTCTATCACCAAGGACAATTACTCCTTCAAACAGCAGGGGGCGCTGGCTGGATTAACAGCAGACTGGGCTAGAGAAGCAAGAGGTCACGTGGAAAGTGACAGGGACACTCCCCTGTCATGTCACTGTCTGCTTCCATATTTACATGGCAAAGATCGAGAGCCCAGCAATGTTAAGAAGGACAACAGCTGGCTGTGAGAGAGACATCCATCACCCCGACGATGAGGAAACAGCTAACCAAAGCAGTTTATCTTCCTGCCAACTGCACCGAAACTGCCGAACATGGCCGCTGTAACCTGCCTCAATCCAGCAGCACTGGGCACAAGGACAAAAAAAACGACGACGGATTTGAAACTTAACACCAGGATATTTCACACCTTAATCACAACCCCAGGGCCACTGTGAACATCCCAGAGTAGCAGGACGTCACCGAGCACCGCGGTTACGGGAGGAATAAGGGGTCAGATCGGTGATGCCGTCATCACCCGCAGCAATCCTGCCGTCCCGGCCGACTGCGCTACCGCCAGCTGTCAGAGGGGGGCGCCATCCCTCCCACCGTAATTAGAGTCAGCCAATTCCAGACTTACCGTCATTGGCTTCAGACTCGTTGCTGCTGGTGGAGTATTTCCTCCTCTTCTTTTCACTCTCCATCTGTGTGGGGGGAGGGCAGGTGACAAAATGAACGCAGGTAACACACTTCGTACTTTTGACCTTATTCGCGAGGCCAGCTGCCGCGGAAACCTTAGCGATCTGCAGTGGTCCTACTTCAGCGTAGTTTAGCAGTGAAAAGCCCAGTAGGGGTATTTCCATTTCTGCAAATTAATAACCAAAACCCAAGTCCCCCGGGAAAGACAACCACGAGGGAGAACCGGCCTACATCTTCTGGTGTTTCAGTGCAGATGCATGCAGACCAGCAGGGGACTCCCCCGGCGCAGGGGACTCCCCCGGCACGGGGGAGTCCCGCCAACACACAGCCCCCGGGCACCTAACATCCATTTCAGAAAACCTCACACCGTGCACCAGCAGTCAACAAGTCAACACACAGCATCCTGACACACAAAAACATACAAATGCAGTTCCGTTTGTGCGCCCTGGTCGTTGACCTCCGCAGCCACACACCTGGCAGACGTGCACGTCCACCGTTCACGTTTATTTGCTTATCACGCACTTTTTTCCAAAGTGATGCACAATTGATAAAGCAGCATCAGAGAATCCCGAGCGTGGTAAGTTAAGGGCCTCCGCTCAAGGCCCCCTCTAGTGACATCACACTGTCAGCCACAGGACTGAACCTGATCACAGGTACAGTGTCTTTACCCAGTGACCCACATACAGCCCCCAAACCATCACTGCTGTACGAACGCCAGTACTCAAAGGGAATCCCCGCAGGGAAGTGGATTTCCCCTACTTTGAGTAGGGAGAGACAGATCAGGTCACTAATTAACAGTAAGGATCAGCCCCGTGTGAAACACACCTGGGTGTGGGAGAAAATGCAGGCAAAACAAGCATCCTCATCCTCATCATCATCATCATCATCACTGACTCTGAGGCAACTTAGCGAGGATTAAACTTGAACGCACTTAAGTATCATATAACTATATGCAATAATATACCACTCTAATAAATACAAAAACCGATGCTACTTACTGTCCCTAAGACATTTTTTAATCAGGAAAAGTCACAATTAATGCCTGATATACCTCATCCAGATAACCGGAGGGATCCGGCTGAAATCAGCGGTCAGCTGATGTCAGGAATAACTCCCATTGGTCCCTTTAACAGATCTGCTGTGAGATTTCTGTCAATCCGCCGGCTGCGGGACAGGGTAACGCGGCGCTCCAAAGCCAGCGCGAGTCCCAGCCCGCGGCCTGCCCTGTCTCCACCCGGGGGGCCCTGTAAAGGGTTAACGTCGCTGGGCATTGCCGTCGCGCACCTGCATATGCGATTTAGCATCTGCTCAGCTGCGGCGGGGGGGGGGGGTTGGGGGCAAAAACAGGAGAGGCAGAACCTCAGCGGATGACCTCACGACTGAGCCTGTCATTCTGGCACCGCAGAGAAGAAAAATAAAATAAATTGGGGGAAAAAAAAGACTGCGATATCGCCGCATTCCACTAACAACCAGTTTCTGTTATTTATTGACGATGCATTATGGTCCCTTTCGCAGGAGTCATAGTTTGTTCTTTATATATATAATAATAATAATCAAACCCTATTCAGGCAACTTGTCAGAAAAGTGCTGACAAGACAGGCCCGGGAGGGATCGGGGGGGGGGGGGGGGGCTGAAAGGCTGCCAAACCGCCAAGCGGAGAGGCGGGCCGGCCACAGAGGATTAATGCCCCCCCTCACCTCCCCTGCCATCAGGAGTCCATTAGCCTATTGACGAACAGAGAAAGCCCCACATATGAAGGCAGGATGGAGTGAACTGACCCGATTTGGGGGGGGTGTCAGAGAGACAGTGATCAGAGATAGGTGAGCAGGGACGTAGAGAGGGTGAGCATGAGGAAAAGGTAGGGCGCCCCCTTGTGGTGGGGCAGAGAGGAAGGGGAGCACAGGGACATTGGTTCAGATCAGCACCAGTGAGCGTAGGACCACCAAGCTTCAAAGTCTGATACGCTTAACAACGGCCAACTATTGCAATGCCTATATTTAATAGAACAAACGCATGCCAAGACAGAGGAAGCGTCCATATTGCAGGAACAATAAAACATGCCAAAATAAACAACCACATCAAAACAGGGTGAAAGCAACCAGAGGCATTATAAGAAAGCATGTAATTCACGACGGTAATAACATTTCACCTGGAGAGGTGAATTTTCTCCTTGGTGCGCGGGGGGAGGACACACGCATACCTTCATTTAAGATGAGCCCTCATTAGAATATTATATTTCTACAGTGGTTCGTAATTTGCCCGTGGAGGTGAGAAAAAAATTAAATCATCCTGGATGACGGCCCACTGGCCGGCGCTGATCGGGGCGGCCCACGCGGCCACACGCGAGGTCCTACCTCTCCCTGCCGAAACACTTCTCACAACCAACAAGCCGGACTGTCAGCGTCATCTCAGTTAGCCCAGGGCGGCAAATCGTTTAAGTGCCAGAGCTGAAAGAATATATCTACACGCTGTGCTCCTTTGGGAGCTAAAAGAAGAGAGAAAAAAAAAGAATGGAAAAAAAAAATCCAGGGCTTCTGACGTAAGGTGACCGAACCCCCTGCAAACAGCCCAATGAAAGCACTTACAAGCCATACGCCCCCCCGCTCCGCAGCCAATCGGCGCTAAAGACACCCGAACCACTGACAGCTTGCAGACAACTTCCCGCAGGAACACGGAGCCCGGGCGAAGGTATAAACACTCCATAGTGCGCCTGCCCCTCTCTTAATACCAGCCCTAGACAAACTCATCCCTTAATCAAACGGAGGACCCCTATCCTCCAGAGGGGGGTTTAGCAACATGAGAGGAGACGCGTTTTTTTTTTTTGCCCCACATCTTCTGAGTCATCTCCCCTTCAGTGGCCTCAGAGATATGGAGGCCATCAGTCACCACTGGGAACATCTAACGAGTCCCAGGATGATTCAGACCTTATTTTAATTGATTCAAGGCAAAGGCTGTTCAATTAGATCTGCTCTTTGTACAAAACAGCCCGCAGGACGGCTCTTGTCAGACAGCTAGGGTGTCTGATTTCGAAAGGACCCTGTAGATCAACCATTTTACAATTACTTTCAAATCATGCCTCTTTAACTTCTAATAACGTCATTTCTTAGTGATTTATTCCAGCATGATAATTTGAAATGCGTTCGACGGTGTTGCCGCTATGTGTGGCTAAGTTGCCTGGTTATTTAATTATATGTATGTGTATTTTTTAAATTATATGTATCAGATCGTTTAGATTTAGCCCTCAGAATGAGCCTATAAAAATGGTAAAGTACAGAACTGGGATGAAAAGCATTTAAAACGAACTTGATTCTTCCGATCGCAGTAAATAAGCGAAAAGGTGACGACAAGCGTGTCGCTTATTTAGAAGACGAGCCCTGGCCGAAGCTCCCCAGGCAGCCGCGTTCATGTCCTCCTGCGCAGCGGAGTCTGGGTGCTCCTCCTCCGCCCCCCTCCAGCGCTGTGGGCGCAGACTTTCGGAAGGTAAACAGGAGCCACTCCCCCTACAGTCAGTCCCGCAAAGCACACGGGCTGAAGGCAGCCAGACAGGCAGCGGCCTCCAGCAACTCATGTGCGCCAGCCTGGTATCACGCCGCAGGTCTCGGCGCCGCTATCCCCTTTCGCTCCCGGCGTGACCTGCGTGCGTCCGTCCCAGCGGAGGCTCGGAAAACGCCGGCAGCCCGGCCGCCTGCCCTTCAGCTACCCGCCGCATCCTCCATCCCACACCCTGCCTTGCCATCCACCCACCCCCAGGGCTGCGAGCTGTTAGGCTGGATTTCACTTTCGCTCACATGGCAAAAATAAACGCACGTTATGAGCTCAGCCGCCGCCGCTGCGCAATGCCGATTATTTTTAAAGGAGGAAGTAGCCGATCCGGAGTGGGGGGCATCGCTGCGTTCATTGCGAGTCGGACACACGTCCGTCCCCCCCCTCCGGGGTAACTTCGGCAATCCGGGATGTGGCTCCGAGGTCGGTCCACATGCCGCGATCGGTCCAAACCCCCCCCCCCCCGACATCTGCTCTGCACGATCGCAGCCTTTTCCTCCGACAATTTCCGCAAAAAAAAACACCCGTCAATAGTGGCGTCAATATTTTTCACCAAGCTACAGCTGCAACACTTTTTCCCAAAAAATATACACAACCATTTATTTTAAAAAAGTTATTTAGAGGTGCAGCGACTTTCTACGTTATCTAACATAAGGATATGACCTACATGCACTGGCTGGGTACCTCACGACTCATTCCTTAAGTATTTGCCCAATTCTAACTGGAGCAAAAAAAAAGGAAACAAAATAAGATTAAAGGGCAGTAAAAGTACCTTTTTCGCCTCGGTTGCAGGCTGCTTTTTGGATGAAAGAAAAAAAGCGTCCTCAGTTCAGACGGATGGACGATGCTGTGAAATTAGATAACTGGTAAGCCGCTGACAAGCGCCGCGATTATTCTAGTAGGCGGCTGGTTAGCTGTAGCATCGGCGGACTGCGTTAAAGGCTGGCAGAAAAGTGACAGCTATATATGCTCCCTAAAGAGTCCGGATTTTTTTTTTGCTTGTTTGTTTATAAAAAAAAAAGTATCCAGCAAGCTAAGCAGCAACGCTACTCCAGGTTAAAAGCCAGTCCGCGGCGCAACATTATGCAACAAAATAGCGCCGGATGCGTACGGCGATCTTATTTGTATTTAAGCTGTCTTTTCAAGACTTTGAAGTGATGTCATCCGAGAGCCGGATTAAAACTGCAGGCTGGCCCAGCTAGCGCTTAGCCGCCGCTAGCCCAATAGTTACATCTGCTCAGTCGTGTCGCATTTTCGGCTGCGGTCCAGATCCAGCGTGGTATCCGACGGTCCCACTTTAACACGGGGATTTTTTATTATCATTATAATTTAACACCCTCTCTCGTCCCCTCCCTGGGATCCCCCTAAATTTTTATGCAGAAAGGGTGTTTTAAATTTCAGCGCACTCGGGGTTTAGCTAGTCGCCGTGAGATAGTTTGCGTGAGGCTTCGCCGCGCACATTTCTCCCCCCCCCTTTGCACCGCTCCCCGGCCAAATCGCGCTGCTATCCCCTATGTGCAACCTTAGAGCAAAAATAATCTCACACTTAAAAAAAAAAATCTTTTGGCGCCATGTTAATGGCGTACTTTAAAATAGCCATCCCCCCCCCCCCGAAAGGCATCCGAATTATCATTTACCTTTTTTTGCAAAAAGCGCACGGCACACATGCAACGACATCTGAAAATGACGAGATGTGTTTTCCTCACCTGTCAAGTTTCTTGAGAAAGTGATAGCGACCATTAACGTTAAGATAACGTCAGCGGCTTGTCGAATCAGTAAATGGGGCGGTTCATTGTATTACCGTCCATCTTATTTAGAGCATATACATAAAACATTACTTAATACAGCAAATATTATGCTTAATTACAGTATTTCTCGAAATTAAACTTTTACATGTTGCAAAAATGTTGTCAGACCCCGTAAATTTTACACAGAAAGAAATATTAAATAATAAAACACTTCGAAGCTGGACAAACTATTAGTCAAGAAAATATTTTTACTTATTTGTTCATCGTATTCATGCGTGGCTGTAGGCTTGTTCATACATTACCATACGTGTTGCCTACATCAAACTAATGATCCATTTAGTTTCATTTGCACTTTGATTTCACAAACAGTGTTTGTATACGCTAGCGACGTGTGTGACATTTGTATATCTCGGGAAGTGACAGTTTGATGTTTAACGCCAACCATGTAAACGTCTAAAGCTGTTAATCGTTAATAATGATGTGAGTCCAGCCGTTAAATTGATGATATAGAATTTAACAAAACGCCAGTTTTTTTCTAGTTTAATAACATAAAGTTGTCAATCAAAGCCTTAAATTAGCTTGATAAATTCATGCGACTCTTCGTTTATGGTAACATATATTTTCGGGTGAGGGTTTGGCAGCCGACAGGCAGATTAGATTAGGAAACTGGTGACGTAAAATGCTTCGTCAGATTGTTTTTTTTATAAAATAAGATTGTGCCAATATTTGCACAGAAAGTTCAGCTCAGTTCAGGTACGTGATTAATTATAATTTGCACAGAATCCAGTAATGATGTGAGAGCGGAAGTATATTGATTTAGGACATAGATTTACCGACTCGACTCACCGGAAGGGCATCGAAGCAGTACAGTTAAGAAAGGTACTTAACCTGAATGTCCTCAGTACAATATACTGCTGTATAGATGGGAAAATACTGCATTGATCTGGATATATGTCGGCTAAGCATGTAAGTGTTCAGTATTCATTGATTAGATTTTAATGAGGCGTGTTTTTCCAAGCACCAAAATGTTTTGTACTATAAATCTATTGTGCATTTTACGGGGTTTGTACAATTTTAGATTAACAACCCGTGTTAGGCTGTAAGGGAGACAAACGGATACGTAACAGAGAGTTGATGGTTTTGCAAACTCTGGCTAATCGACAGTTGCTACAGATGTGCTATGCTTAGGCTACTACCATACTGCCTCCTGGTGGACAACAGGAGAACTGACAAAAGTGCTTTCACCTTCGATCCATCCATCTTCCAATCACAACCACCATTATGATGCTCCTTATTCATCATTTGTTTTACCAGGCAAGTAGGGAGACCAGGCAATTATTGTCACAGATATAGAAGACCTACTGACAGATTATTTTTTTTACAGTGTAACCCTTGTTTTATGCTGATATGAAGATCCCTGGTCTTTGTCAACATGTTTACAAAAATTTTCCTGGAAACAAGGAAATTCCAATTTGTGAAAGAGCGAACTGGCCATGTGGCGACAAGCCCTCTCTGAATGAAAGTACAAGCATCCAGCTACATTATGATATTATAGCTCAAACACAAATCACACTATGTAATCATCTGCGTTAGTGTTGTTAAGTAATGTAATTGTTAAGGATGAGGACTCAGGACGGCTGGTGCTTCAAATCCCAAGACAAGGCGGCCCGGTGCACCTTAAATAAAAGTACTGCACCTAAAGATTCCAATAAAAGATCTGTTTAAATGAAAGGAAAAACATGCAAGTTACTTTGAACATACGGCTAATTGTACAGGACTTAGAATACTGTGAACTTAAGACTAAAAATAACCCAAAGGAATAAACGAACCCTTTGAGTTATTGGGCTGGGCTGTTAATCAAAGCAGGTCTTGAATTATTTTTATTGAGTACTTAACTACCGAATTGCCTGTCCAGTTCTTCCCTTGATATAAGTACTTGAGCTGTTTCTCCTATATAGAACTGAAGTATAAATTCATAATGTTTTGAAGTCGCTAACAAGAAAGCAAAAGTAAATCATAATCCACCACTAATTCAGCATAATACGAACCGCATGGTTAATTAGTAGCTATTAATTATTAGATTGTTTTATTTATTCGGTTACATTTTGCTTCTTTTTGCAGTAATAGAACACTAGACTTCTTTGGCAAAATATCCAACCATCTTTTAACTGCTGATTCTGGGCAAGGTCACAGGGGGGTCTGGAGTCCGTCCCAGACAACAGAGGGCACAAGCCTGGGGTACTCCAAAGATGGGATGCCAGTCCGTCATAGGGCACACATGCGCACACACACGACAGCCAATTTTGAGACGTGCATGTGTCTGGACTGCAGGGGGTGACCTGCACGACGCTGGGAGGAATTTCTCACACACGCAGAGCAGAGGTGGGATTAGAATTTATAACCCTATGGCGCCAACCATTTTGGCAAAATAAATTAAATGCAAACATGTTTTGTTTAAGCAATTCTCTTATAATGACCATCAGATTACAGATCATGGCACCTTAAAATGAAAACACCCCAGAACATTCCTGTTTTTTTTTTCCATACGCGTTTTTTGCACCATGAAATATGCATGTCCTCCATGAATATGTGCAAAAAAGAAATCGGGAATTAATTTAGCATAATTTACTCTCTGATTCTGGAATCTTCCTCCCAGAGCCAAATGTTCCGTGGCTTTTTGACAGGTTTGTACACAGCGTCTGCCAAACTGAATAATCTCTGGTTCAAAATGTACCCAGGAATCTTGGGCTAAAACCAAAGGTTCTTGGCCGTCGCGGGGGTGGAATTGTCTCGGGGAGACGGCACATTGTTGGCTCGGTGAAAAAGAGGGGCATGTCTAGCAGACCACCAGACAAGAGCCACCGTACCGGGACAGCATTGTCACTGTCACTGCAGTGTAAATAAGACGCTGAAATGCCAGACGCTTTCACTGCATGCAAACAGTGTGTCCCATACTGCTTATGGTGTTTTTGTTTTATTTTTTTATTCTGATTGATGTCACATTTTGGCACCGTGCTTACAGATTACTGCTACATCTTCAGTTACATTAGCTTGGATTCAGTGTCGCTTTGAATTAGCTCGGGCCTTTGTTACTTGACTGTTACATTATTTTCAGTGCCATTTTTCTACTCTTCCCAAACAGCCCCTGGCACCGGCAATCGCCCCAGGGTGTCTCCTTTGTGAAGCCTGCTGAGATCCAGAGTGTGGCTTCTTCTTTTCTTCCCTCCCCAGTTCCATTGAGTGATCTCCATGTCTTCCTTGGACTCTCTCCAGGTCTTCACTGGGCGGACGTGAAAATTAAACAGCTCAGTTTGCCCTCCCCCAGCCCCCCTTCCCGCAAGTCCTGGTCCTGGTTGCATTGCGAGTATTTTCTGGGGTTCTCTGTGATGGTTTGCTCGAAATTATACAACGCCTTTGCGTTGTATAATAACCGAATAAATGTCGATAAGGGCCTATGTCAACAATATATATATATATATATATATATATATATATATATATATATATATATATATATATATATATATATTATCGTTTATAAGATTTTCGTAATAATAACGTATAGTGAACGTTACCAAATTGACATGTTTCACTGTGTGGGACAGAACTAAGGATTTCCTTAGCTAAACTTCATTAATTAACATTCAAGCCAAGGCACAAAATCCAAGTACCTCACGATTACGCTCACGCAACATGTACATACCTGTTTGAACCCTATACTGTACATTTAGTATTCCCAGATTCAGTCCTTGAAATTTTTGCTGTTCCCGTTTATTTCGCACTTTTGCCGTAATATTCTGAAATACGGCATTATTTTAAAATCTAATGCGTCAATGTTGATACGGGAACACACACACACACACACACACACAACTACAGTGCTGACAGTTTTTGTTGTCAAATGCAGCAATGCAAAACTTGAGGTGAGTGAGATGCCGCACAAAATTTTAGGGCATTCATCACCCACTTTGCTGTAAAGGGCATTGACTAAATGCAAGTCATTGTGATTTGCTCAAACTGTTATTCCTTTCCGGGCGCAGAACATTGCATCGCTATATTCAGTAATTTTGTCATTCTTTCCCTCTAGCTCCCGCCTGAAATAATGGTTGACTGTTATGAATTCATTGTGTCTTGAAGCCGCAGGAATCTTAGTTTGTGCTCAGCCTCGTGTCAAAACATGTCCAGCAAACAATCCCCTATTCTTTAGAAAAAGTAATAGTGTGAGCTTAATGCTGGCATGATTTAAAATATTTAGAAATGTATTTGTGCGCATTTTTCAGTTAGTTGTGATCAACGACGGTTATTTGCCAATTAATTTCATTATCAATCTCGGTTATCAATACACATTGATAACTTTAACTTTTTATTAGCTGACATTTAAACTACCACAATGCGCGCACTTCGATTGTGCAACAAGGTGCTTATCTAACGCAAAACTTTATTTAATATATTTAAGACGCACTTTTAGATCACCACCGCCAGGCGGCGCTGTAATAAACTCATCGAACTACAAAAAAGACCACTTGCGCATGCGCTGTACGATTTACGGGGATAGCGTGTGTTTTTCTGCCGTTGATTTCGTGCTTTCATTTTCAGCATGGCGGCTGGGGATATTGAGGAGTTTATCCAGCAGAACCGGCAGCTGGCGGAGCGGATAGACGCATATAGGTCACTTTCGGAGACTGAAAAACATTGGAAGTGTAGGAGAGAGTTTATCTTGCGAAACCTCAGCGATTACCAGGATCCCCAGCTAGACACTCTGCTGGCTTTGTCCATGGTTTGGGCAAACAACGTCTTCCTCGGTTGCCGGTGTGTACACGGAGTTTATCTTGTCCTCCTGCCACAATTTAACAAGAACTTAACTTGTAGCTGCCACCGTCTATACTGATTTAAGCGCGTTTGGGACTGTTCTGTGACTGTATTTATTTATTGCATTTAACAGGTATAGTCAAGAACTGCTGGATAAAGTCAGGGAGATGGCTGACGGCATTGTTGTAGAAGATGCTCCTGTATTTAAAACTAGAGACGAAATCATAAAGCAGCAACAGGTGAGGTGGTATTCTGACTGTGTGTTGGTTCCATTTATTGCTTAGACTTATCACTTAATGCTGAATGATTTAGTGTGGCGGGTCAAAACTGAATGTTTTTTCTGCCTCTGTCTTATCAACTATAGCGCCGATGACCAGAGCAGAGGAAACAGCCTCCGATTTGGACATGAAGACCTTTTGATACTGAAACCTTTTACATGACTTTGTTTCTATTTTAACGATACTGGTCGTAAGACGTAATAATCACGTGGCTGCAGTATTTTTTTTTATTATATATTTTTAAATATCTGTTCATAAATAGAGGACTGATTGTTGGACATTTGGTCATTTTTGGTGCATATTCGAGGTCAGTTAAACATTTTAACAAAACATTTGAAGTGTTCAATCTCAGAGTAGTTTTCCCCATTACATCATTTTATGTGCTTATCTGCTAAAATGTTTTTTTTAACCTGAGAACCTAAATTTAACAGGGAACTCTATTTAAGATGAAATAAAAGTAACTATTTAATCTAATGATTAAAACCCACTGGAAACCAGCAGTATACTGTTTCTTTTATACAAAGTAAATTTTTCATCCTTTCATCTGTCAAGTGTCTTTTTGCCGTGTGAAATCTTAACTGAGACCATACTGTATAAAAAGCTTATCCCAGGGGCTGTGGCAGAATTCAACCTGCTGGTTACCAACAGTATAGAGGTATAAAGACCAATGCAGCTCTGGTCGTTTAAAATAAGTGAAATTAAGGTGAAAGATCCTTCCTTGCTGATGCCATTCTAGGTTCGAATGTGTTTTTCTTTTCATTTGGTTTCAATTTCTTTTGTTGGGTCATGAATGCTGAATTTGTAAAGCATACAGTATCATGGTCTCTGTAAAACCTTATGATCGCAAAGGGATTTGTCACTTTTTTTTAAATTAAAATTTCAATAATCCCAGCTGGCATTTTTGCTCCTGTTCCTTTGGTCCGGGAGTTCTCAGAATTCATGCCTTCTGTAGCTGATTATCTGAAACTCGAGTTTCAGCATCGAGAAAAAAAGACAGTTCAGAGGTAGGGAGATTTGATGTTACTGTCTAACAAATCTTAACACTCATTTCATATTTGCTGAAAGGGTCTTATTACATTTGTATCCAGCTTGATTCAGCTGCATCAATGCAGACAAGCATACAAGTAGAAATAGCAGGTTGAATATTTTAAGTTTGTCATTTCATTCAGGATATTGTGTCCATACTAAACTGGATTTAATAAGAGCATGGATGGAAAAATTATGCTTATTGTAAAAAAAAATGGTGGGATACAGACCAGGAGAACCTTCTAGAGGTGTGAGTAGTCCCATTAAATTTGTAGACCATGGCCCTCGTAGTGAATGTGAGGGAAATGCCAGCGCATGCTGAGGTTCCTGCTGGGGAAATCCATGTCCGTAGTGGGGCAGTGTCTGATGACCTCAGCAAGCCCAGTTATACAACGCAGACCAGCCCTGGCTGGTATACAGCCTCTTACATGACTACATTGCATGTGTGCACTATGGCATCCCCAACATTAATATCAGCAATCAGTCTGTCTTTAAAGCAGGGTCACCAACCTTTTTGAAACAGAGCTACTTCACAGGTACTGAGCCGTACGAAGGGCCACCAGATTGAAATGCCCTCCTATACTTATATAAACTTCATATATAAAAAATGTGTTTTACATGCTATTTTTTGTCATTTTCAAATCTATATAAATGCAAATGTGATAGAAAAATAGCAACATTTTAGATGCTGCTCACTGGTGAGTTGTGCTATTTTTAGATCAGGTCTGCGGGTGACTCATGTGGTCCTTGGGGACACCATGTTAGTGTATTTCATAACTTTTTAACACTTAAATATGTCAGAAGTACCATAAAAAAAGCTCAAGTAATTTGTTTTCTCTTGAGAAGCTTTTGCCATAGTCACAGACTTCATGGATAACCTGTGAGGTTTGACTCGTTATAAAATCTCTTTGGACCAGGAAAGTTCCATGAATATTTCTGCAACAACGTAAATGCTCTTCTGCATTTACACTGGTTACAAGTGCACTGGATTGGATGCCACAATTTCAGCCCTGAATAAAAAGATGGGTCTGGTTTATACAATATTGGTGAAAAGGAACACACACACTTAATCTTTTAAAGTCTTTATTATAGGATTTACAATGAAATTGCATAGTACAGACATGACAATTTCAATGCAACTCAGTCATTGCTAAAGCAACAGTGTAATATTCACAAATCACCTGAGAAAAAGCTGCATACAGCACAGAATATTCAGCAGAACTGCATGAATTTTAACTTTGGTTATTGAAATACCACCATATTGTTAGCGAAAACCATACGACTTTACTGTCAAGTGCAATTTTAACTAGATGTCGTTCTCTAAACTTACCTTTCATCTGAAAGGCTGGTCATTTGGTCTGTTGATCTCACACTAAACAGGTTCTGCTGCAAACAGAAAATCTCCAGTCAGACTGGGAATCCCACTACATAAAGTTCAGGTCCCATTTAAAAAGCCTTTATTTTCAGAGATAGCAAGCATTAAACCCCATAATCACTGGGTTAACCCACACAATTGATATGAAAAGTTGATTAATATATGGTACATATAATCCAATTGTACAAATTCATGCCACAAGGTTTTACATCATAAATATAAAGCAAACAATACATTATATTTTCAGTTTGTGCCAGGGTGAGCGCTGGGCAAGACTACGAATCTTGCCAATGCCTGCTCACCACCGACAGCCTAATGTCCCTCCTTAGATTACACACGTAGGCAGTCAATGCCGCATGTGCCAATATGAGGAGGGCCGCGGCCACGTGCACCCAGAGAGGAACAGCCGCACGAGACGTACCTCCAACAGCCCGGCCGCTGGCGGAACATCCACGTTTTATTGCATCAGTGACCTGGAAGGATTAGCGAAATCATTGATTACTGTTGGTCAAATTCAATCGTGGTGCAACAGTTAGAAAGCGCATTAAACGCCCTGTTCCAGTGACTGAGGATAGGACTAGATGATAGGGAAACATACTAGTACCGAAGACATTTCACTGGACTTTATGTTCCTCCGAACATACACACACGAGTACGGAAAAACACCGTGCATGCCAAGAATGGAGGTTTTCTTTTAAAAAAAAAAAAAAAATCATATAAATCATATAAAGGCCGTGAGCACTCCACGGAAATAATACACTTCTGTGCAAAAATATTAAACTTTATATATCTTACAGTCCAACAATGAACTGATACAAAGATTTGATCAAATGATCGGAAATACAAATAGTAAATGGAGATTGGAAAAGGTTTACAATTGATACAGCAAAATCAGAGAGGCTCACCCTAAACTGAGACATCACTTCCACCAAGCAGACAGTCGAGCTGTGAGGGGAAAAGGCTTCAAGCTTAGTGGCGGACGATTTTATACGGAGTCAAGTAACCATCGATACGACACGACCCAAACAAAAAGGATTTACAATTTACGACAGCGACACCTTGCGTTAGAAATCCCGTGCGTTTACCGTATATGCCTTAGACAAAATAATTCACAAAAATATGAAAGAAAATCGATGCTTATATACAACGCTGCAGAAAAAAAAGGCATAGACATGCATAGCTGGTTACCAGCATGGTTAGCATAATGCATACTGGTTATACCAGCATATGTTGTGCTTTGATGCTGGTGGACCATCATCATTAATGAAACATTGAGGGTGGACCAGCTTCATGTGCAGGGTAGACCAGCACAGCTATGTTGGTCCACGAGCTACACCAGCACCAAACCAGCATGATCCAGCATGGAAGTCATGCAGGTCTTGTATTTATAACAGAAAAGCTGATAATCAAATGGTTTTCCTTATATTACCTGCAGAGACCCAGTAATGTAATGCTGTTGTTGAGTGCAATAAACCCATTAAGCTTTCCGATTATCCCGTAAAAAAGTCGATTAGGTCCGATGGTACAATTTCCAGGATACATGCACCAGAATCCTATACCACTGCCACCAAATTTGGTCAGCTGGCTGGAGTGAGATTTTCAATTATCGAGACGAGTCTGCACACTCATGCACATGCATCAAAGTAAACTTTATTGTCATCTCTGCTATATAATTACATTACAGTATACAGAGAGACATTACATACATTTACATGTATGTAAGGGTTATATTACATTATATATGAATAATCTGGAGGGTTTGCAAACTACCCCAGCGCTTTTGATGCTGTTAATTTTAGGTTTATAATGGAATAATATAAATTTGCAGTAAGATTTCTTGCGTGAGAGTACGAAAGCGTGAGTATCACGCTAGATGCGTGAGAGTTGGCAGCCCTGCATCACGCACAATGTCTGCATAATAGTTTTAAACGATGCGCATTATGACTTCAGAGATGGTCCCTTATGTGCCAGTATGATGCACACTGGTCCCGCAGAGATGGTCACCTTGACATGATGCACATTGATCCTGCTGACGCTCCCCTATATGCCGGTATTATCCCGGTAAGACACACGTCCTCTGGGGCTCTGGGATCGGGTCAAAGGTCAAGTTCCATCCAACATGGCGACGTTTATTCTAAGGTAACGCTCCGTCTGCGATTATCACTAATGAAAAGGTTTCCCTACCCATGCTTCTGATTTTTACTTCACAGCAAGTTTGTTATATTTTGGTGTAATTATGAAGGGGTAACAGTTTTTCGGTTGGGTTAAGGAGGAGTTAGCTAGCGGTTAGCGTAGTCAGATAGCTATCGTGGGTTCCCCTTAGCTCGAACATCGGAGGGGATTTGTCTTTTGACAGTGTTACATGGAAAAGAAAAGAAACATTTTACTCGTAAATCTAAATTAAATAAACGTTGTACTGATAGATTTATCATTTTAGGCAGTATCTTAGTGTTTGGGAGGTTAGCAAGTGCATATCCTGCTATTTTTATGTCCTCCTGAAACCAGTCCTCCTCATTACTAGGCTAATTATTCATATAGGTAGATAAATGTAATACTATTAGTCCTGAGGTGGGTACGCTGAGGTTCATATGGTTTAACGAATAGTTTGCACTGAATGTTCAATTCTTGAATGACTTGGAGAAATTACTAGCTGACCCAAGAGTTTCGTTTGTGCGACTTAAATATAAAAAACTGCATCCTTAAAAATCAATTTTTAATGTCGCTATCGCAGTATCGGGTGTTTTTAATATGCAAATATTGCATACAGCTAATAATTATGGACGTAAATAACTAGACCCGAGCTGTATTTGAAATGTTGTGCGCCAGCCTAATTGCGGTATTTTGTTCATACACACTAATCTTAACGTTTATAGACTGTTTTAAAAGTATTTATATCTTCTTTAATGCCATGTAAAAAGAGAAAATAGTCCTCGGTGTGCGTAGGCAAGGGCGAAGTAATGTGAATGACTGAGGCGCTTCTTACGTAATTCATGACAAACGTGAACCATATAAATTGCTATTCGTAGTGTTACAAAAGAAAAACGTTGCGTTGGTTATTTACTATGTAGGTCACTATGTGTGTATATTTAGAGAGTAGGAATGCTTTGGAAAGCAGTGATAATCTGCTTAAGCAGTAGGTTGTACCACAGGATATTGAGTGTAGTGCCGCAGATTGTGTGGACATTACAGCAGGGAATTGCCCTGTTCAGACACTTATTAAATAAATGTGGTATCAGAGAAAGGGCGTAGATTTGGGGGTGGACGGTAGTGACATGACATGTCCTTATTAACACTGTGAGTATGGTTTGGGGAGGGGGGGGGGCTGACTTGGTCCGTGCCAGTGCTGAAACCAAACCTGCACTATCGTGTCAGTTTGTTCCTGTGATTCTGGATGTTTAAACTGTACACTGCTAAACTGGGATTAATCTGAAAAGCAACTCCTCACCCCCACCCCAGAAAAAGCATCAATTAAAAATAAATAAATAAATAAAATGAAAGTGTCTGGACATATTCTTGTGATTTAACTTTATGAAATATGCCCTTGAATCTGCAAATGAGGCAGTTTCTCATACACGTGTGTGTGGTGTCAGTGTGAGTACAGGACGAGCATCCAGGGGAACCACATTGAAGACGTAATTGATTAAAGATGCACTATTGCCGGCTACGGTTGCCCATGGCACTGCCTGTGTGAAAATGCAGCATAGTCCCCAGCCCTGGGAACCACATTGAAGACGTAACTGATTAAAGATGCACTATTGCCGGCTACGGTTGCCCATGGCACTGCCTGTGTGAAAATGCAGCATAGTCCCCAGCCCTGGGAGTTTTCCAGTCTGCTATGAAGAACCAGGACCTTCTCATTGACTCCTCATTACCCTTCCCAGCCGACTGGAGATGGTCTGGTTTCTCGTGGCCGGGGTCCTCCTGGTGCTCAACGGCGTCCGAGCCGTGGACCGCAGCAACTTCAAAACGTGCGATCAGAGTTCCTTTTGCAAGTGAGTGACCGCCGACTCCATTACACGTTTGTGACTGAGACAGACCCAGCATAGATATTTAGCCCTAGAAGGACCCACAAAGCCCATATGACCAGCCAACTTGGATAGACAAGGACACTGCATGCATTTAGTTATAGCATCTGTGTAGCGTGTGAAGGTGTTTTTTTTCCCCCCATTCCTCTCCCATATCCTTTTGTCCCGTAGGCGTATGAGGACAATGGGGCTGGACCAGTCCCCGTACAGGGCCATTCTGGAAACGCTGGAGCTCAGTGACTCCCGACTCACTCTGCAGCTTATCAATGACAACAACAAGGTGTGTGTGTGTGTGTGTGTGTGTGTGTGTGTGTCCCACGTACTCGAACCTGCATACGGCAAAGCGCACCAATTATAATGATAATTTGCAAGGTAATCGGCAGGTTCCGATCCCACTTAACGGGCAGCCCTCGTGGTCGCGGTCCCTAACTTTCAGCTGTGTTTTCGTCTGTGTCCCCCCCCCCCCCTTCCCCATCCCAAGGTGAGGCTGCTTCTGGAGCTGTACCGGCTGCAGGGCAACATGACCCGGCTGAAGATCAACGAGCTGAAGCCCCTCAGGTCTCGCTTCGAAGTGCCCGACGTCCTCGTTGGCGAGCCGCCCACCAAGCCGTGAGTGTTGGGGCCGAGGGGGGGCATAACTTTACGACAGAGAGGAACGGGGGAGGGAAAAGTGCATTTCAGAGGCCCTCCTATAGCTGCTATCCCGGATATACCACATATAAATGTTTTTCAGTTTATGTAATCGTCGTGCGTTAGATGCATTTAAACGGTTGCAGGAGTTGTCTTTTGGCAGAGGGATTGAAAATGCGATTTAAATAAGCATTACGTGTTTCCCCTGTGAGTCTCCAGGGGGCGTCCTTGTGGTCAATGGTGAAGGACAGATGCTGAGTAAGCTGATAGGAAACAGCAGTCAGGGCTTAGCGAACCGGATCGAGCTTGATCAGATAACACAGCGAAGGTTAAAGGGGCGGGTCAGGTAATGTGGTGTGTGGCTCAGTGGATTTGGACACTGTGGCTTTGTTCGGTAGGTTGTTGGTTTGAGTCCCAGTGTCGGCAGAGCGATTGCATGAAGGCATCTGCTACAGAAATGTACCGTTTACCATCCCGCCCGCAGGCTGTCGATGGTGTCGCGGGACGAGGCCGGCGTGGTGCTCTCTCTGGGCACGGACGCCCACCAGCTGGTGCTCAACGCCCGGCCCTTCCGCCTGGACATTGTGGAGGGTGCGCGGGTGCTGCTGTCGGTGAATGGGCGCGGCCTGCTGGCGTTCGAGCACCTGCGGCCGCGCAAGGACACGTGAGTCTGGCACAAGCGCGCCCGCACACACACACACACACACACACACACACACACACACACACACACACACACAAAGCCGTAAGCCTGCCTGCCACTGACTTCCCCACCTATAGAGACTGGGCCATTAGCCCTGTTCATTACGCCATTAAGTCCGTTCTCTGATTATGAAGTTAATCACACGCCCAGAAGAGGCCACGTCCCACAGCATCTTATCTTATTTTCAGGGCCGGCCTCGTTAATCTTCATGGATTAGGTGTCCGCCTGATTACGAGCAGGCTGACTCTGTCCCGTGGCCCAACCGTAAACCTTCCAGGTTCTGCTAACAGTTGAATAATCACGATAAAAGCTTTCAGGCATGAATCGAACATAGCAACAATCCATTTAATTAATTTTAAATTAAAAGCTATTTCATAAAAAATTACCAAAAATGAAAAAAAAAACAGTCTTGTAATTTCTTCTGGTACTTTTCTTAGGTCGGTTTGTGTCATACATTCCACTAGACTAGTTGTCGGCTGAAAAAAATAATCCGTTACACAAACCCTTGCATAAGCCAGATTTTTGCGTAAGTCCAATTCCTTTCAGACCAGCTAATAGGAAATAAACACAAGCCAAAAATAATCTAGTAATGCATACTAAAGAACACGTTTAATAAATGAAAGCGAAAGTGTACATTTATTTTCAGGTGTATGTTTTTGCATTAGCGCTTCCGTAAACACTGTCCGTCTCGGATATTTCTTTTGCTTAAGTCTGGATTTACTTAAGCAAGAGTAAGATTTCTCGTAAACCTGTATGGGTTAGGGATCAGATTTTGAAGTCTACTTTCAACTTAATGAGCTTTTATCTAGTCCTGCCCATGCTGGGTGGGACTGATGTGGCCATAGGACATTTCAAACCACAGATTGTGGCTTATTATTATTATTATTATTGACCTCAGATAAAATAATTTTTGTAATGAACTTATTTGCTTTGTATTGAGATAAATGCTAACATCTTCCCTGTTCATGGTCTGTTTTTGAGTGATTTTGCTTTTGAGTTCTTTGTGGTGTAACGATAATGGAGATCTCATTGTTTTCTTCATTTTTGTCCTTCTCTCCCCTCCATTTTGTATTTTTCCCCCATCTTCGCTTCTCCTCCACGACCGTCAGTCTCTCTAAAATAAGTAGCACGGTCGGTAGCATGTGGGATTCGATCAAGAACATGTTTTCTAGGTAATTTCACTCTGTCCCCGGCTCTGTGTCTGTGCGTCCGGTGCCCGTCCGGTGTCGCCCCCCCATTTTGCGTTAGCGTGTCTTCCGGAAGGTCGCAGGTGGCGAACTGACCGCCAGCACGGCTTTGCTCGCTTGCTGCTCGCAGAGGAGGACGTTTTCCCCTTCTCCTGAAACAAAGCTGCTCATTTTGTTTTGCAAGTATAATCATGAGAGCCTATTTTATCATAAAGTGAAACATGCAGAAGCGTAAAGCTCATGTATTTAATCATAAAAAGGATTTTTACGGTCTCATTGGGACTGTAACAGTGTCTATTTATGGCTACTCAATGAAAATGACCAATACACCATTAAAAATACACTATTTTAAGTGTTTCTCTGGTTTCATTTCATATAGTTAGCCTTGAATCTGGCAGATATATTAGGCTTTTCATGATTATACTTACAGTAAGCCAGTCACCTAGTGTCAATACCATGCCCTGCCACTAGAGGCGTCAAGAGTGCTTTCCTCGCAACTCTCAACTGCTCAGGCATGTTCTTCACAAGCCGCAAATCGTTTTGAGGTCTTCCTCGGCTCCCCAAAGCTGTTTGTTTGCTATGGAGTACCCAGCCCTAACTAACAATGACCTCCTAATGGGCTTTAAGCACTGTATTCGGGGGCTGGAATCCAAAGCATTGGGGTGGAGTCTCCTAACTCTGCCGCACTGAGAGGCTCTCTGGTGCTACAGAACTAACCTCACTCTGTCTGCTTTACCGGCCGCGGCTGCCAAGGTCGCTCACAGCTAGCCGTTGAAGCGGTACTCTCTTAGACGCACGGCACGCTTCTTTCCTCACTGCCGACCCCACATCCAACCGTCCGTGTCCTCTAAGCATGGACTCCGCCCACCACTGTATGTGGGTGTGGTTTTAGCCAAGGGAGGCGGAGCTCTGAGTTAAACCTCAAATAAGAGCATAATTCAGATTGGCCAGAGATAGTATTCGAATTAATACTGTTCATGGCATCGCTCTGTTGAGCAGATTGTCAGTGAAGACGTGTTGGATTCTATCAGATAACCTCAGGCCACCCTGTCATCAAATAGCGGGGAATCGCACCTCTGTACAGTCTGTGATTCCAGGGTTTCCAGGTCTTGAGGGATTTAATGTACCTTTTGGCTTAAGAGGAGTCATGTTGATTCATTTTTTTTCTTTACATTAGAAAATACAGGGGGAATTCCACCAGAATTTAGCGATTTTTGTAACTGCCTGTCTTGCCTTCACAGGGAATTGGCGCTCGGTAGCGCCAAATAATAATGATAAATCATAGTTCTTCTCTTCAGCAGCAAAGGCTCATGGGAAACTGAGTTTTGCAAGCAGGCTTTAGGTAGATTGACCCTTATTGAGTTATTGATTTTGTTCAAAAATTTGGATCACTGGCAGAATGCATGCATTATGTAGTCATACTAGTTAGTAAAGGATTTGTAGAGTACATAACCTACTGTCCCTTGAGCCTCTTGAGTCAGTTCACAGTTCATTAATGTAAAAGGTTGATCGTCCGACAGTGAACTGTATGATTATCTGATACATCGCTGATGCACTTTGTTCAGTTGTTTAATGCCAGTTTAGTGTTCAGTAATATAATAATCAAGAATACAAGATAAGCTGATTAATATTGGGTAGAATTCTCCTTTAAGATGCCGTAATTTGACAGGTTTCTGGAATAGACCCTGTGTAAGCACTGGGGGGGGGGGGGGAGAATCATTGCTGTGTTTTAACAGTGAGTTTTAAGTTTTTAACTGTGATCGCTCCCTGGATCGCAATCAACTTCTGTTCTCATAAGCATATGTCAGCTTAGGGTCTTTATAGCACAGATTATGCAGTAACTGATTCTGTCTAAATATAGTTCCAGACTAAACCGAGAGTGAAGACTGCTTAATAAAACACGAGGAATCCTTTGGCTCTTTGTGTAGCTGGAGGTCCTTGCTTTCTCACTCCAGCCTGGTCTTTATGGCATCAGAGACTCTGCTGGAGTGATATTTTAGGGGGTCTTTGGTTGTTTCTACCACTGGGGTGAAGCTCGTGCCAAAGTAAAAAAAAAATGCCACTTTCAATTTTAATAAAATGTTCCAGTTGCAAGGAAAGCATTTGTGACCTCTGTGCTGTTGCCCAGTGTTGGAAAGTTACATGACCATTCTGTTTTCGTCATGTTTGCTCCTGATAGCGATCTTTCCCTGACATTTTCGTCTTCCCTGTCTTGCTATGAATCTGTCTGTCTGTCTGTGTGTGTGTGTGTGTGTGTGTGTGTGTGTGTGTGTGTGTGTGTGTGTGTGTGCGCGCGCATGCTTTCCAGTAACACTCAGAAGGACTCTGAGGGAGAGGAGACCACAGAAGGAGCCCAGGAGGAAGGAGAGGAACGGGTGTGTTTCTCTTCTCCTTCCCAGACACGCGGCCTTCCCTGGGGGCGTGGTGTCCTGTCACCCCACGGCCTAATCGTCTCCTTGACACCCCCCAGCCTCCCCATTGCTGTTCCTATGCAGCGGTAGGACTGATGCAGTTTCATGATTGATTTGGAAGTTTCATAAGGACTGAAGAGCTTTTGAGCTGAAGCACCAGAAGGTGTTTGGTTCACTTAAGGAGTGGCTCTGATACGCTGGCTGAGGTGGAGGCGAATTAAGGCAGCAGGATTAAACAGGCACCTTTCCAAGCTTCGTTTCCCTCCCGTCACTCTGTCTTGTGTTTCCTCGTCCCTCGTTTACTTTCCCGTCTCTTTCCCGGAGGAAAGGAGGAGGAGGAGCCAGGAATGTGGGAGGAGACGTTCAAGTCTCACGTGGACAGCAAACCCAACGGTATGGACATGCTACAGAGCAGCCCCATGATCTCGTCACCCTGCTGCTGGTCCTTTGCCGGTCCTCTACCTGCAGTTAGTCGATGTCCATGTCTGATGAATGATCTCGCCTTCACCTTGTTTCAAATCCTCATCCCCAGGACCGTCCTCCATCAGTCTGGACTTCTCCCTGCCTGGAGTGGAGCATGTCTATGGAATTCCAGAACATGCAGAAAACCTCCGGCTGAAAACCACAGAGTGAGTCCAGCTTCTGCTCCCAGCAGATCTGCTCTCCTAGCGCGTATAAACTGTACTTATTCTCCCAGACTCTTTTATCCAAAGTGACGTACATGTTGGAGACAGCAGGATAAGCCAGTCGCTCAAGAAACTGGAGGTTAGGGGCTTTGCTTGAGACCCCCATCCCACACACCATCCCTATTACATATATCATAGTTCCAGCCCCCCGAATTCAAACGCAGTCCTTTGGAAGCAATTTTTGTTGGTGAATGAATTTTTTTGGACGCTCCCTGCAGGTTATTGTAAGTGATTTCTGAAGTATATGTCAGTAATTCTCAGTCCGGTCCCTGGGGACCCACAGTCGGTCCATGTTTTTGCTCCTTCCGAGCTCCCTGCCACAGTCCAGTTTTTGCTTCCTCCCTCCGGGAGCCGGAAGGGAGCAAAAACATGGACCGACTGTGGGTCCCTGAGGACCGGATTGGGAAACACTGGCATATGTTGTTATATATAAACATCGATTTGTTCTTCTTGCCACAGTAAAGGAGACCCGTACCGACTGTACAACCTGGACGTGTTTCAGTACGAGCTGTACAACCCCATGGCGCTGTACGGGGCTGTGCCCGTGCTCCTGTCCCACAATGCGCAGAGGACCATGGGTATTTTCTGGCTCAACGCAGCTGAGACCTGGGTGGACATCAGCGCCAACACTGCCGGAAAGGTGAATGCCGTCTGTCATCAGCTGGAGCTGCTTCCTGACCAGGTTTCTTCTGCACTGAGGAGCATGAGAAGTCAGGCGCTGTTATATTAATTCCGAGCCGAATTCTCCACGATTGGTTTGTGGGCTCTGTTCTGATGGTGAAGAGCTTCAGCAGTACCTGAGGATCTCTGCTAAAGATGTGCTGTCTTTGGTCAACCGATCTTCTCCAAACCCTCCCCATTAGACTCTGTCTGGGAAGGTCCTGGACCACGCCCAAGTTCCCAGCGATGCCCCACAGACAGACGTGCGCTGGTTCTCCGAAAGTGGCATCATCGACGTGTTCATCATGCTGGGACCCAAACCGTCTGACGTTTTCACCCAGTATGCCTCTCTAACAGGTAACTGGGACCAAAGCTTCTTCTTATCATATGACTTATTATTAACCAGTACAAAAATACTGCACTTGGGTTAGAACTAGTAACTATTCACTGTACTCCTGACTAGCTGGTAAATGGGAGCAGTACTAATTGCTGATAGATGGTTTGATTTAGTTTTCTGGGTTAACCAGTAAGATACATGGTTGGTACTAACCAGATAACTCTGAACTTTATTCTTTTGACTTGCCTGTGGCAGTGTTTCCCAACCCAGTCCACGTTTTTGTAAAGTATGAGCAAAAACATGAATTGTCTAGGGGTCCTCGAGGATCAGTCTGAGAAACGCCGGTCTACGGAGAACTTAAAGAACCTCATTCGGAGTATGACAGACCTCCAGCGGACTGACCATCCTCTATCTCCAGGCACGCAGTCCTTCCCTCCGCTCTCCACCCTGGGCTACCACCAGTGCCGCTGGAACTACAACGACCAGGAGGACGTGCGGGCGGTGGACGCCGGCTTCGACGAGCACGACATCCCCTACGACTTCATCTGGCTGGACATCGAGCACACGGACGGCAAGCGCTACTTCACTTGGGACGCCGCCAACTTTCCCCAGCCCCGCGACATGCTGCGGGGCCTCCAGGACAAGAGGCGCAAGGTGCCGCTTTGGCCCAACGCATCGTGCCCTGTCGGCGTCCGAGTCGACGTGCAGCTTCACAGTCAGTCGTCTTCATCTGGCTTCTCGTCTCGTCTCTCTCTCTCTGTCCCACCAGATGGTTGCTATAGTCGACCCCCACATCAAGGTTGACAGCGGCTACAGGATCCACAACGAGATCCGCTCCAGGAACCTTTACGTGAAGGATAAAGACGGGGGAAATTACGAGGGCTGGTGCTGGCCAGGTGGGTGACTGTAGCTCGGGGTTCTTTACCTCAATGTTTCCAACCCATTCCTTACAGACCCCTAGACAGTCCACATTTTTGCTCCCGTCCAGCTTCCAGCATACCTGTACCAAGGTATTCAGTGTTCCCGATTAGCTGAGAGCTGGGAGAGAGCAAAAATGTGGACTATCTGGGGGCTTCAAAGGACTGGGTTGAGTAATACTGCTCTTGCTTAATGAAAAATGTTTACCCCAGTGAATCTATTAATAATGCATGTTTCCCAAAACTGTCCTTGAGGACCCATAGTCAGTTCATGTTTTTGCTCCCTGCCAGACAGTCCACATTTTTGCTCCCTCCCAGCTCATGGACTGTCTGTGGGTCCCGAGGACCAGATTGGGAAACACTGTATTAATGTCATTGAGGTGGATAATGAATTGAAATAAATCCATGGCAAACGTCTGGGCAGACGGAGTAATTCCGTGGTGTTCCTCAGGTACGGCCGGGTACCCGGACTTCACCGACCCGGAGATGAGGGCCTGGTGGGCCAGCATGTTTGCCTACGACAAGTATGAGGTGGGAAACTAACCCTGCTTTTCACGTCAGCCTTACTTTCCCTAGATTTAGTGTGGATGATTTCCATCCTAGTTAGTGTATGTTATGTGTTGTTTAAGCATTCAGACCAATGAATTAGCGACACATTTTGAGAAAGCTGGGTCAAGCAGTCCCTGGAGCAATTGTGGGGGGTTAAGGGCTTGGCTCAAGGATCCAACGGTGACATCACACTGCCGGTCCTGGCGTTTGAACCAACGACCTTCTCATTACCGGCATGGGCACCTTAGCCAAACACCCCCGACTAATGTAGTGAGGAAGAGTAGCTCTTGTCCCGTAGAATATATAATGGGTGGCCTGTCGCACCCGACCCAGGATCTAACCACACACCGCCCTTATGACCCAGGGGTCCATGGAAAATCTCTACACTTGGAACGACATGAACGAGCCGTCTGTGTTCAACGGGCCGGAAGTCACCATGCACAAGGACGCCATCCATGGTACCTGGGAGCACCGCGATGTGCACAACCTCTACGGCTTGTATGTGGTGAGCAGAGGGACCTGGGGGAGCGGCTCTCTGCCCCGAGGACGTGTCAGTGCCGGTGTTCCTTATGTAGCGTACGGTGCAGAAACATGTTCCGCGAATATGCTGTACAAGGAATGGGAAGTGAGGTTCTCACATCCAGTGGGTGCCATTACTATCCGCCTCATTTAATCCACTTCCTGTTACTTGTTTCCATTTACATTGGATTAAACTGGGGAATTGAATGGCACAATAATCATCTTTCACCACAGGTGTTAAGGGCTAGATGGTGTCCATCTTTAACTCTACGACCCTTTTCTGATTTGCTGTTCCAGTTACTACGTGTTGTGAAATTCACTAAGCACCACCCTCTCTAACTCCGCCCTCTTAGCAAATGGCGACAGCAGAGGGCCTGATCCAGCGCTCGGGGGGTGTGGAGCGGCCCTTCGTTCTGACCCGGGCCTTTTTCGCCGGATCGCAGCGCTACGGTAAACTCATTATCTATATCCTGTCATAGACCCCATCGACGTTGTAGAGTCTTCAGATAACTCGTATTCTGTTCTCAGTATTTTATGGCCTTTTGGACTTTGTTTCTGGGACTGATCCTGTACTCCTGTATGAAACCATTGCGATTGATATAGTTTTAGATTTTGTGGTGTCTTTGTACTTGTGTTTGTGTTGTGTGGGTCTCTCTGCAGCTATTGTAGCGCGGGCATGTTTCCCTGCGAATGTGTGACCGTGTAGCGCGTGCGTGTTTGTCGTGGCGCAGGTGCGGTGTGGACGGGCGACAATGCGGCCGAGTGGGGCCACCTGAAGATCTCCATCCCCATGTGCCTCAGCCTGGGCCTGGTGGGCATCTCCTTCTGCGGGGGTGAGACTCGCTCTCCTAAATTATAGATCCTCCGTCATCAGTCACGCCCCCTCGGCCCATTTGTAACAGTGCGCTGCAGAGATTACTAGGTAGCATGCGTCCTTTGAAGGAGAATCTGGGGCAGTGCTTCCCAATCCGGTCCTCGGGGACCCACAGACGGTCCATGTTTTTGCTCCAGGAGCTCGGAGGGAGCGAAAACATGGACCGGCTGTAGGTCCCCGAGGACCGGATTAGGAATCACTGCTCTGGTGGGTGGGGCCACACACATGATGGCGCCCTGAGAACCTGGACCAGTCAGGTTGGGGCGTCAGCGTCAGCACTGAGAGCGACTGGAGCAGAATCTTCTCTTATTAATACCAACCCTCTTCACTTCTCTCTCTCTCCTCCATCCTTTCCCCCTCTCCGGGCACCCCTGCCGCCATCAGCTGACGTGGGCGGCTTCTTCAAGAACCCCGGGCCGGAGCTGCTGGTGCGCTGGTACCAGACGGGGGCGTACCAGCCCTTTTTCCGGGCGCACGCCCACCTGGACACGCCGCGCAGGGAGCCCTGGCTCTTTGGGCCTCAGAACACGGCGCTGATCCGCGATGCGGTCCGTCAGCGATACGCCCTGCTGCCTTACTGGTACCAGCTGTTCTACCATGCCCACCGCACCGGGGAGCCTGTCATGAGGTTTGCCACTCTGACTCGCACCCTGACTCGCACCCTGACTCGCACCCTGACTCGCACCCTGACTCGCACCCTGACTCGCACCCTGACTCGCACCCTGACTCGCACTCTGACTCGCACTCTGACTCGCACTCTGACTCGCACTCTGACTCGCACTCTGACTCGCACTCTGACTCACTCCAGCACGCCACTTCCGTCTTCTGCTCTGACCTTTCAGTCATTCCCCTCCGTTCTGCATCCTGCTCTCTGCTGGGTCATTCATTCTTTTTTTTTTTTTTTTAAAAAAAAGCTGTGCAAGGATTTTCCCCCCCTCTATTCTCCCAGAGGATTTTTTTGCCCTTTTTAATCTGGGGGGTGTTGGCTGTTCTCCTTTCTCCTCCTGATACATGCACTGATTTTGTTCTTTGTCTGGGGTTCTAAACCCTTTGTCCCCGACAAATTAATGAGTGAATAGATCAGTGAATGAAGGAGCGAGTGACTGAGATAGCGAATGAGTGAGTGAGTGAGTGAGTGAATGAATGAATAAAAACACTTGTTGCTTCTCTCCCTGCCCACTAGCTTGTTGTGTGTGTTGTCGACGGCGTAGTCACATGACTCTGTGCTGGTCTCACACCTCATCCCTTTGTGTCCCCCTCAGACCCCTGTGGGTAGAGTACCCGCAAGACGTTGCAACCTTCACCATCGACGACCAGTTCTTGTTGGGTATGTAAGCAGCGCGGGTCTGAGTAATAGAGGACAGGATCTGTCAGTTTGTGAGTAATAAGTGACATAGTGAACATGCGCCAGTCACTGGTGAAATGACTCCATTTCCCAGGGAGGCATCTGTTGGTGCACCCCGTCACCGAGCAGGGGTCACAGGGGGTCTCGGTCTACCTGCCTGGGGTTGGTGAGGTGAGCGCCTCTATATTTTATTTGCTCCTCTTGTGTGTGCTTAGATATATTTACTCTGTACATCTTCCAATGTTAGGTAGAGTTTTCTCTTTCGTTCGTTTAATCTGCCGATTGATCCGCCTGCTGATTTCCCACAATGCCCCTCTGCTCCTTTCAGGTCTGGTACGATGCCCACACGTTCCGAAGACATGACGGGGACCAGAACCTCTTCGTCCCTGTCACCTTGAGCTCAGTGAGTGTTCGTGACCTATTAACATGATTGCATTCTCCTATGGCATTTGTGCCAGCGTGAAAACTGGTTGAACTTCAAACTCATATGAATACAGTCACTGTGCCTTGTTTAAATCATCTGTGGATTTGTTTATGCTTATTATTCGTTTATTCTCATCTCCGATCCCCATCTCCATCGCTCCGTCCAGATCCCAGTGTTCCAGAGAGGCGGTTCCATCATCCCTAGAAAGGTCCGGATTCGGAGGTCCTCCACCTGCATGGAGAATGACCCTTACACGCTCTATGTGGCCCTGAGCCCCCAGGTATGTCCCGGCCCCCAACAGATCAGAGGAACGTCGGCAATTACCCAGAGTACCTTATTCTGTAGTGATCATCGCAAATAGTCCATCCTTTGGGTTACCAGGGTGTTCTTATGATGTCATATGTGAAACATTTTATGATATGGATGGGGCTGCATGCCATTGAAGTCCTAACAGGGACTTTGCCTTAATTGCACCAGTAAAGACAAGTTGTAAATAGGTAAATAGTTACTTTGTAAAGCTGCTCCATACAGCTGTGACCCTGTTGCCGTGGTTACAGGGCACGGCCGACGGCGAGATATACATTGACGATGGCCACACCTTCAACTACGATCGGCAAAAGCAGTTCATCCATCGCCGACTGACTTTCGCCAACAGCAGCCTCTCTTCCAGGTGTGCTGGTATCTATACAGGACTCGCACTGTATCCCGCTTATTCCAGACCCATGAGCCGTAACGTCCCGGTCTGTCTCCATAGCAACCTGTCCGCTGACTCCCAGTTCACCACGGCGTCCTGGATTGAGAGGGTGCTGATTCTGGGCGGACAGGAGCCCAGTGCAGTGACCCTGAGAACAGCAGGTAATGTTTTTTTCTTATGACCTGTTTTTTTATAACTTTAATAATTTTTTAGAATATCAATTAATTAAAGAAGTCCTGCTCCTCAGTTTCCAATCAAACAACTCCAGCTTAGTGCACTGTTAACAAAATTATTTCCTGTACTTATTCCTCCCCACCCCTAGATGGCAGCAGGTCTCTGGAGTTTGAGTTTGATGCTGCCACGTCGGTTTTGACCATTCACAAGCCGGGAGTGAATGCTGGGTCTGACTGGACTGTGCTGCTGCAATGAATCCCTACAGGTCCAGGTGCACAAAGGGCTGAGCTGTGCAGCTGTGACGACGTCATAAAATCGGGAAATATGCACACACATACATGTGCACACACATACATGTGCACACACATACATGTGCACACACAGCTATTGGGTAACAGTAGGTCTAAACAAGGAAGACTGGTTTGAAATGCAACAGTCTTTCTCCCTCACACACACACACACACACACACACACACTTGCACATATAACCAGGCATACTTACATAAATCACTAAATCTTCCCACATACTTACACACAAACTGGACAGGACTTATTATTGAGTCAATCAGAGTAATGTGTGCATTCAAGGGACTTAAAAACTGCTGCTTTATGGAAAACTGCTGTCCATCATTAATCAGTGAGCCAAGATCATCTTTTTTTGCAACATTTTCTCAGTTTTTTTCCCCTCAATCATTGATTAATTTTCATGTTCTACCAGCCTGTTCTACCAATTGAATAACTGAATGGACAGATCCTGAGTATGATACAGGAAATTCAGCCTGAATATTATCAGACATCGGTTCACTGTGGTGAGGTTTACAGACATGAACAAACATGTAGGCACTTGTGGAACTATGTAAATTTTTTCAAAAGTAAACGGAGGAGGTAATATTTTCAGTTAATCCCTGTCGTGTCTTTCTAAGAAAGCGAAAGACGATCCGTTCGTGAAGACGTTCGCCCCGGAGAACGTTTTAAAACCGCAGCAGAAGATGTCACACAGATGAGTCCTTGGTTGACAAGTGTGTGAAAAGTGTAAAATGCCCTAAACCTTCCAGTTGTTGAAACTTGATATTTTGACCTTAAGATGGTTTAAACGTTCGTGTGTGATGGTGGATCCCTGTCACTAGCAGTATATTCATCTTGCACGCTGGGGTTTGTTCCATGTTACTGATGTGTTTACTCTGGATGCCAGTAAAGGGGAGTCAAACTGAACAGGGTATAGAGATGGAGAAAATAAGACGTGTTTTTGTCCCCTTAACTGAAATGATATTTTCAGTGCACTTGTATATTTCATGTGCACTTAAAATTGGGTTCTACTAGTACACTAGTAGAACCTACTAGTATAGTAGGTTTTTTTTTTTTTGGGGAAAAAAGTAATTAAGGACTGGGTATTGGGTGTCTGTGTCATTAGTTTGTATTTGAATTACCTCAAGGCATTTTTTAATTACCTCAAGACATGGTAAATGTCCCGAACTGTATCTACCAGTACTTTGGGGACTGGGTACGTGCTGGTTGCTGGCTTTGGACCAGTTTATCACACCACCAAAGCTCTTGTCTTCCTGATTTGACCTCAGTTAATAAAAAAAAACCCAGGGTGAACGCAAATGCTGTCACGACATCACGTCAACCTTATGTGGACCTTTACCTGCTAGCTGGATATCTTGAACTTTGTATCACAGGTTTAATTATGTTCAATCGTGCCGTTTGGGGGGGGGGGGCAAAAGTGGGTCATATTGGAAAACGTCGTAGAGTTACTTTTAGTGACCAGGAAGACTGTCGAGGTCCAATCAAAGGACTCCAGAGGGTTCTTCGAGAATTAAAAAAATGTTGTTACAGGCAAAATTCCTTGCAGAAACTGGGGTATAATGAGGGGCATATTAAAATAACTCTACATTCCCATAGTTCGTGTGGACTTTCATTTATTAAAATGAATGCATGCATGTATGGTGTACTAACATTTTTAATGGGGAGGGGGGTGCATCTGTGCCCCCCCCCACATACATACAGTACTTCATTTAAACAAAATATCTCCTCCAGTAGCATGCCGCTACATGTTTTAGCTTACAAGGATACAGTACTGAATTGAGTAGTGATGAGAGTCTTAAATCATGCGATCATTTGCTTTAATCACGTGCTTTAAATGTGCTTCTGACGTGGCTCAAAATTCTGCACTGTACCTTTTCATTAAGTGTAACTCCCTGAGACTTACACCAGGATAAATGGTTAGAATATGGATAATTAAATGTAACTGTCATACTAAGTAGCTCTTGGCATCTTAGCTTAGCGTCTCTTGCTTCTTGGCTAATGCCTGCTGACTGGGTCTGACTGGGTAGTTGGGCAGCCTCTGGTCAGCATGTGGTCCTAGGAAACCACTGGGACTGTATCATAGATGACAGAGGTTTAGGAGGCTCAGTCCAGGGCCCTGCTGGTCATGGTCCTCATGAGGCTCTCGTAGCTCAAGAAGGTCACAGCATTGACGGGGAAGGCCCTGATGCTGTTGAGCAGGAGGCCCTTGAAGAAGAAACGTAGGCCTTCTTCTCGTACGCTGACCCTCACGCAGTCCAAGACGCTCCTGTAAGCCAGACCCCCGGTTCCTGATAGCTGCAGTCTGGCCTTGACCACATCCATAGGTGTTGCACAAGCCCATGTCACCACGCCTGCAATGCCACCGGCCACCATCACCGCAAACGTCCCTAAAGAACATGCACAGACGTGATCAGTCTCCAGTTCTCCACAAAGAAGTCATGCCCTCGTCTAAGTACTACTAATGTACAGTGATCCATCAACTTCGGTCCTATGAAGTAATACCCGATCTTACTTGCGTCAAAAGTCCTATAAGAGCCAAAGCAGATGTAGTAGATATTGCTGAATATCTGTGTATCATGCAGCAAGAACCAAAACAAACTGATTGCACTACCACTATAAAGGTTTAGTTAAATGTGTGATATTGTATCTTATGTTGCACAGTATATTTGGCCTCTAATAATGATCACGATGCGTCCAGAATGACTTGTATCCTCTTTTCTAGAATGTAACCTGAACATGAGTTGACTGATACCTGGGGAGTGTTCCACGAAGCAGGATTTCTTGCTTAGCTGGATAACTTGTTGGATTTTAGGTAATCTGGGCTAAATGTAAGTGAACGAAGATAATTTCCTTTTAGTACAGACTACCTTAAATCCGGCAAGTTATCCAGCTAAGCAAGAAATCCTGCTACATGGAACACCCCCCTTGTACTTAAAATGTCGTCTTCGCAGTGAAAGTCTGTGGTAATGGTGTAAAATCATTTTTATTGCCCACTTTAATAACCGCAGCCCTTGAAAGTCTGATGAGGCGACATCAACTTGCCTGGCGGCTTCCCAGCTTCAGTCAGAAACCTGCAGAAAAACTCATAAGGCAGGAAGTAGAGTCCGAAGCAGGGCACGTCCCTCAAGGCCAGGGCCCCCATGCCTCGACACAAGCCTCGGGGCCCCTCCTCCTTCAGTATCACTGCCAAGCAGTGAATGGGGCCCCTGTACTTCTCCCCGGTGCGTATCTGGGTCTGCAACCGTACTTTGACCAAGTCAATAGGGGCAGAAACCACAACCTGATGACGACAGAGATCTTGCAATTAGCTGAAGCAGGAGCAGGTTTTTTTTGTGTTAATTGTTAACCTATTCGCTGACCTAATAGCTAATGTACGAGGGATTCCCGAGACTCTCAATGTTAGATGAAGAAAACATAAAATCAAACAAAAATATAAAGGGTGAACAACTCAATTCTTCAATCATGGAGCAATTAGCATAATTACAGAATGAGATCAGCTGTTTATAATCATGCTCCCTTACAGGCACTAGGGTTGAATAAATAAGGTGCCAAGTCCCCACAGGCACTAAAACAAACTGCTACTGTATGTTCCTGTAGCTCAATAAGTAGAGTATTGTGCTAACAACACAAAGTTTGTGGGTTCAAATCCCAGGGAGCACATAGATTGTAAACTCAGGGGTTTTATTTACACAAAAATGTTCTAAGGGCAGAAGGAAAAATGATTGGTTGAGGGAGATACAGTAACCAATCAGATTGTAGAATAGGGCGTCCAAGCAATCAGATGTCTTGGTCCCAACTCCTCTACAATCTGATTGGTCATCTCTCTGAAACAGTCACTGTTCCTTCTGCACTCTGCTTTTTTTTTTACATCATTGTTACATGTGTGTGACATCCATCCACAAACTTTACCTGTGTGGCACCTGAAAAACTCCCTGCTATATACACTGCTGTCAGAGAAATGGGGTTGCCTTGGCTCCGATCCGTGTATTCTGATTGGGTGAGGTAGTCCAAGGCGTTGCTATAGGAACCAAAGGCCACAGAGTTGCTAATGGCGATACTTAGGACAGGGAATGACATTCCTTTGAAAAATCCATTGATCTGATCGTGTAACAGAAAACAAAGTTTATAAACATTAAGAAATTATGCCTTATTAAGCATAACATTCATATAATATTTTGAGTTTAATTTCAGTTCGATTTTAAATTTCTTATTACAACTGCTTAGTGAGAAGGCTTGAAGATGCAATTTCATTTTTAAAACTGGATTTTTTTCAAGATAAATAAACTGAGCATTTCAACAGTAAATGGCCAGTTGTTTGAAGGATTGAGTTTATTAGGAAGAACCCAGAGTGTAAATGAGAGATCTTTGGTTCTAAATTATAAAAGCTGCAAATGGGGATATTTTACAGGACGTGTCTGTTCATCTTGGTATGGCCCTCCCGCGCGCGCACATACCCCTTCATGTCGGTAGGTTTTGGACACGCAGTCCAGTATCCCCCTGTATGTGGACTGGGTCTGCAGACGCACCTGCCGACACATCAGATCCACACTGGCGTCACAAACGCTTCTTTCGTATCGTACCGCTTCACAATAGTCCACTTTCACATTGCAAGTTATATTTGAGCCACTGCACCACTTTTTTCAATAGTGAGCTGGACATTTCTAACTCTGTTATTCACATTCTTAACTGAAAAAGTCGTTATCCAGCTTTCCAAGCATGTAGTTTTTTATGAGGGGAAGGACTACCGTACATACCAACCACAGTCAATAAAAGAACATCAATATAAAGATGTATGTAACGCAACAGCAATCGCAGAGATAACTGCATAGTTCGTAATTTAACACGGACGCCGCCGCGCGTTGACTGACGCGCGTCCGTATCTTACCTTCACTGTGTCCATCGGGTGTCCCACTACCAGCCCTACGGCACCTGAAATTCATTTCTACGTCATCACTGCGCGTAACTTTCATGTTGTTTTGATTACTACTTGTGTTTTGCATAATTTGCAATTAGACAAAGTTTTAAGCTGGTTTCCTTGGGTGGCGAGTGTTATCAGTGCAATTGTATATGTTTTTTTTTATCTCTCGCTTCATTAAAGTAGCCTAAATCTATTACTAAATTATATAACGTTAATGCACGACATGCGATGCATTATGTTATGCATTATGCAGGTATGCGGAGTCAACACGAGATGAGACGAAAAAGCATTTATTAGTAAAACATTTCGTTAATTTTTAAAATTGTGTTATACGTCTAGAATTTTAAGTGGCATTAGAATTAAAGATTATTATAGCGCATTGATTTTCCATTGTGATTCGCCTATCTGATATTACGTGTACAAGTACATAATATTAATAAACACCCTTCTGACCAATCAGATTCGGGAATTCCGCAGCGCCGTGGTTTACTTGTCCAGGCATTTTTTTATGAAGTGGCAGGAATGTCTTACCTGAAATCCACCCTGCTATAAATTCGACTAAAGGCATTTTCGGTGGAACACAACCAACCAAGAAACCCTACGAAAAAAAAAACGTAGAATAAATAGCAGAAATCCCCTACAGTTTTGATAGAAAGTAACTTAAGCCAGATGGTAATGTGACTTTTTAAGTCTAAGCTCGGCTCATTATTCGGTTCTGTGCCGCAAGGTATAATCACAAGGATTAGCAGGTATTAATACCGCGATTAGTGTATATGTACACAGTTGTAATATTTATATATAGTACATCTATGTAAACAAGATGTACACCGCGTTTTATAAATATAATGCATGAATATAAATATATTCTATGACGATTGTAACCAGAAGCCCTACAGAATGAACGTTAATACAAAACAGGCGGAGATATTACAATGTGAAGTAGATGCGTGCATTTATTAATAAATGCCTCATCTTGCTGGAGACTTCGAGAAATCGGTAAAAGTTAGTACTAACAGTTGGCCTACCTTTTTTATTTGCTTAAACAAGAAGACTTTCACGCGATTTCACTTTCCATGAAGTACCGTATCAGGTCTTTCGCTGCTCATCGTTCTCTGCATAACAATCCAAAGCGCGGTAAAATTATTAAAAGCATAATGAAAAATCGAATTGTGTTGTTCCTTGGAGGCACAGAAGGGCGGCCGCGAAAAGCTACTACCGGATGATTATTCCATCCGTCTGCCGCATTTTTTGTTTTATAGTTGAAACCTTCCCATATAGGTGGAGCCAGTTTTTAGGAGAAAGATAGTAAGGACCACAACTGCTTAGAAAATAATATTATGCCACGTTTGACCTTTTAATATAGGTGTATATGCCCACATGACGCGTATAACTCCAATATTTAAATTTGCAAATAAATCACTGCGGAGAAGGGCGCTCTCCCTCGCGCGAGACCCTCCGGCAGGATTATACGTTGTTTCCATTTCGATGGGCAGCACGGACGTATCGGCCTATATACTTTTGCGAACGTAAATGTGTATTCTGGTAAACTAAGGTACAATTATGCTTATTTTATCTTTGCAATGTACAATTTGCCTTATTTGTATGTCGCTTTGGATAAAAGCATCTGGAAGATAGAAAATGCTCAAGTGAACTGCAGCATAATCAGACTGGCACCCA